GGCTGCTCAGATCCACTCAGAAATCTCCTTTCCTCCTGTTTAATTGGGATATCTTAAAAATTTAATAAAAATCCTGCTCTTCTCCCCTATACTCCACTGTTGTCTCACCCAAGAAACACAAACCCTGCACATGCTGCAAGCCCAGGGAAGTTATTCTGCTCTAAATTTTGCTAATGATTTGCTGTGTGACCTCAAACAAAATCATTTTCTTCACTTGCTACTGCCTGAACTGGTGATCGGGAGGGAAAAGACTTTTTCCTTGCATGTACCACATCACACGATACCTGAATCTCAGGTGTGACCTGAGTGGTCTCATCACAGAAAAGATGCAACAAGAGAGAAGAATTAAATACTAAAATAGACCTTGTGCTCTGAAGAGTACTGAAAAATACAAAAAATGTGGTGGTCCACCCTTCAGCAGTGCTCTACAGCTGCTATTCATTTCTCCCAATAATTTTTTGGAAAGTCCTTGGCCTTGGTCAGGTGTCACACCAGCAGACCCTGACGAAGGAGGTGCACACAGTGGATTTGCATCCCTGGGAAGGAATGAGGGTGATTGTCCAGTTATCCAGAGAAATGAAAAGTTACTTCCTCGTGTACCAACAGACCTTGGGTTTTTCTTCTGCTCAGTGCAAGCCTTGGGAGTAGGAACTTCAAGGTACACTCAGCAAGTATTATTATTAATTTTTTTTTTCCTACAAGCGCTACAGCACGCCCTGGACACGTGGCAGACTCCTGACGCCAATCCAACCCCACACGCTACGGATTTCCATGCCCACGCCTACCCGAGGAGCACCAAGGACACTTGCTGGGAGTGGGTGTAAGGTTTAATGAGGGTTTCTGCTCAAGGGAGCCACATGCCCAACATTTTTGCTCGTCAACAAGAAAAACATCCCTCTGTTAAAATCCTCGAAGGAATCAATCACTGCCAGGGTTTTTTGTAGCCCTCAACACAAGTTGTGCGATTTTGCTGCCTGTTGGACTCCAGGAACTGTAATCTCCATACTGGATCCACACTGCAAAGGCAAATTTGCAAACGGCTCCCTACTCAGCCCTCGCATCTGTGCAGCCTGTACGGAGACAAACACAGCCGCAGCCAGTTCCTTACGGCATCCCAATTCGGGCTAAACGGACTGCGGTTTCGCAGCAGATCTCAGGGGCTGTCCCCCAACGTGGTGGCCAAGCCAAGCTGCCTCCCGCGGCTCTCCCCGAGCGGCCCGCCGGGTGGGAGGCTGCTCTCGGGATGGCGGTCTCCCGGTCACCACGCATACTGCACACACCATCTTGGAATGGGTAAGGTTTTTTTTTTGCTAAGTTTTTATTTTAATTCAAGGACTTTGCTTCATACAAAATGTAATTGTAGAAACAACTGCAGAATTCAAAGTTTGGCTGATAATATTACTCAGGCAGCAAACTAGGCAACCACAGAACCTTTTTTTTTTCTTTTTTTCCCCCTTTTTTTTTTGGGTAAAGTTCCACTTGTGTTGCATGGTTGGAACTTTTTATAATTTTTAACACTGTTTTTTTAAATATAAAGTTTTGAAAAAAACCCCTTTTCCCCCTTTTTTTTGGGGTAAAGTTCCACTTGTGTTGCATGGTTGGAACTTTTTATAATTTTTAACACTGTTTTTTTAAATATAAAGTTTTGCAACAAACCCCCAATTTATATCAAATATAATTAAAAATTAACAACGGATGAATACATTGTATCAAAAAAGTACGAAGATAAACATTTTCCATGCACATACTTTTTATATATATGTATATATGTATATATTTTACATGCAAACATTACTTATTCAAAGTACAGCCACTAGAAACTGGTTCTGGATGCAGAAAACTGATTGGTGCAATTCAAGTTTGGCAACTCACTATGAGGATTCTCAGAAATATCATGTATGCAGAGAGGCTGTAAAAAAAGGTAGGAACAGGGGTATGAACAACTGTGGTCAGGCTCGTCTGTCACTGTCATCGACCCCTACGAGGGCAGGTGCAGGATTCGACAATTTGGGATTCTTCTTCGTGTTCTGCCTAAGGACTGGAGTGACCCAAGGCCATCGTTTGGCTGGGCGCTCCCGGACGGTGTGTTAGTGCGGGGCTGTGGGTCTGAGGGTCTCGAATGGGAGGGAAGGCGAAAGGCAGGGTGGAGGAAAAGACAAAATTACTCAGTACAGAAAGACATCTCTCTTGCTTTACAGTGTGGGTACAATGTTTGCATGCACTGTCACAGAGACTGCGGTTTCCCTCTCCTTTACTCCCTGGAGTAAAATAGTAACGTTTTCTCTAAAATCTCAAATAAAGTGTTTGTGCCTTCGTATAAGGAAAATGTACAAAACATTTGGTCACAATCATGCTGAAGCCTGAAACAGGAAAATCCAGCAGATAAAGCTACAGAATGGATGAAGGTCTTTCTGACTCTTGGTGGTTTGGATGTGTTTCCGAACGTGTCGTCTTGTTGCATAGCCCTCCGTTTGCAATGCACAGCCGCTACCCACGGCGGACCTCCGGCTACCGCACTTCCGTTATTCGAAGTGCACATAAATACAGAGACAGAGATAGAGACAGGAGTTCTCCTTTAGCAGAATCCAGGGATGAGATTGGCCAGGGATTATTATTTAGTAGCGGAACAAAAAAAAAACACAGAAGGAAATGAAAACGGGTTGAATTTCCTCAACTGAAGAGCTACAGGAGACGTGAAGAATCACCCTACAGCAGGCTGCTCCCCGCCTGAAGCTGAAAGACTTTTGCTGAGAGCATGAGAGACCTCCTGAGCGTTTTGGTAGCATCCGACACCCTCCAACTACCCCAGCGACAAAAGGAATCGCTGGGGTCCGGCGGGATCTCTACCCTCCCTAAGCGACCACCTAGAGAAGTTTCACAGTTCTGGGGCTTGGTAGATCCTCTGAAAAAACACCTCTGTCCAACCCTCCTCTTCTTTCCTATCAGCATCTCCAGCGATGTGCTCGCCTGGCACCTCCCACCCTTCCTCCTTTAACCTTCTGTCAGCGTGCTACGTGTCCGCTGGCCGCCCCGTGCCCCCCATTAGCCCTACAACGGGTCGTCAGACCCATAGATGCAAGGTCCCGCCCAGGCTTCTCTTCCAAGCGCTCGCTCCCCGCCAGCACATCGCATCTGCCCCTTTCCCAGGCTCAAAGTGCAGAAATCCACACGCGCACAAAAGAAAGAAACCGTCCAACACAAGAGTCATCGCAAGAACACAGAAATCTCATCCCTGAGAATCAGAGTTAGAGGTTTTGCTTTTTTTTTTTTTTTTTTTTATTTTAGAAATAACCTTCTCTTAAACAGGCAATAAAAACAAGCCCCTCTCCAACTGCCCTCAACACAAGTTGTCCACCGTGGAACATGTCCAGAGCTCTCGCAGCCCGACTGCGACTTGACATGCAGCAGGAAAGACGCTGCTTCTCCCGCAAGAGCATCTCAGCCGATGCTGTACTCTTCCACCTGCATCTCTCCCGCAGGACCTAATCACTAGTCAATGAGAAAAGGCTGGTTTTGTTTGCTGCAATCATTCCCCTCCCGCCAATAAAAGTATTTATATTAAAAAAAATGGAAACATAAAAAAACAAGCCAACAAAACCCAAACCAACCCCAAAGCGCGTTTGCCTTCCCCACTGTAAGCTTCCAACCTGGCACTCGAATACAACGCGACGCGGGGCGTAGTGTGCGCCGCGGGACCTCCGAGACGAGGCGAGACGAGCGGCCCCGGCTCTGCCCTCCCTCCCCTCCTGCCCCTCCCCACGCTCGCCCAAGGCCTGATGCATCGAAGCAAGAGGTTGCATCGTCGCTGTGAAAGATTTCAAAGGTTAGGCACTTAGTAGTGAACAACTGGAGCATTCGGTAGAAACGGTGGGACCTGGAATGACAATTGGACTAATTCTCTACATAAAGAGTATTTTTTTCTTTTTTTTTTTTACTGTACAATTTACAAAAATGCACACAATGAAAAGTTAAAGTTCTATCTAATAGCTTGATATAAAACCAATAACATTTCTTCTTCTCACCCCTATGCTTTTTCCTCTGTTTTTTTTTTTTTTTTTCTGGATTTTTTTTTTAGTTGTTTTTTGCTAAATCAAGCTTATATTGTAAACAAGACAAAACAGTGAGGGCATGTTGTGGACGACAGGAGAGAGGGATGGAAAGAAAAGTCTCAGCAGCAAGGAAACAGTCCTTACAAAGTAGCTTTCTTGTGGCTTTATCGTGTGTCAGTGTGAAGGACCCGACGTGGTGAGTAACATGAAAGAGATCCACACGGCAGCGGTGTCGGAGCGGAGTCCCGGCCGCCGGAGCACTCACTCGGCTCGGAGGTGTCACTGGCTCCACCGAAAAGGATTGCTGTGGCTGAACATCAAGTCCCAACGGACTGTCCTTTGTTCTGGTCTGTGTTTCGACTCTCCCAGTTTCTTGGGTAGATCTCTTCCTTCTTAGTGGTGAACGAGATAAAACGTGGATGTGAACTTTGTTCATGTGTGTCCATTTGCAACCCCCGACTCCCACCCTGACCGGGGAAAAAAATATAATAATAAACTAATTAAGAAATAGCCCAACAATAACTGCGCCAATCTCGAAAAGGATCGACAGTCTGCTTTTTTTCCGCCATCGAAGGT